CGGGGTCTGCGTGGGGCGGGGCCTGTAGGGGCGCGGTCAGGTAGCTGGGTCTGGTTCCCACTAGGTGCGGCAAGGCTGCACCTGGCTGGGGCGGGGAGAGAGAACCCCCATCCTCGTGGGAGCCCTGTGGGTCCGGCTCAGGTGAGTGGGGGTCGAGGGAGGGCTCAGGTAGACCCAGGAGCAGGGGATGATAGAAGGGGGGAGTCCACTCTTTCCAGGAGAGGCCACCGGCTCTCAGGAAGGATCTGGGGGTCTGTCCCCGCGCGTCCGCGGACGTGGAAGAGGTTGCCATGTGAGTGAGTCACTGTGCATTATGCGTGCCCGTGTACCTGGGCGTACCTGGGCGGGCTCCTCCAAGCGTGTTTTTTGTGCAACACGGAAAGCCTCTCTGCTTCCTCTTTTGCCCTGAGCGATCTTTTTAAACCGTAAATCGGATCGTGCCCCCTCCTCGCTGAAAACCCTCCATGGCTCCCATTCCATCCCACTGAGATTAAAATTTGGGGCCCACGAGCTCCTGCGTGGTCGACCCTGTCGGTCTCCCTGACCTGGTTGTCTTCCACCCTGCTCCATGCTCATTGTATAGCAGCCACGCTGGCTTCCTTGATGACGTAAAATGCAAACTTCGCTCCAAATCTTCGCCTACCTGCCTCCTTCTTACTCTTAGGAATTATCTTCTTCATGCATCGTGCGCTTGTTTGTAGTCTGTCTTGCCCACCAGATTGCCATCTCTGGAGAGCAGGTTAGGTCAGGGCTTTGGTCTCCTTATTCACTGTGTCTCCAGGGTCCAAAACAGCGCCTGGCACNTAAAATGCAAACTTCGCTCCAAATCTTCGCCTACCTGCCTCCTTCTTACTCTTAGGAATTACCTTCTTCATGCATCGTGCGCTTGTTTGTAGTCTGTCTTGCCCACCAGATTGCCATCTCTGGAGAGCAGGGCAGGTCAGGGCTTTGGTCTCCTTATTCACTGTGTCTCCAGGGTCCAAAACAGCGCCTGGCACACAGTAGGTGCTGAAGCAATCAATAGTTGCTTCGATAGTTCAATGTCAAATCAGTAGCAATCAATAGTTGCTCGATGTCAAATGCGAGTCCCTGCGTCCATCTGCTTTCATGTTGTCTGTGCGCTGGTGGCTGCCCATGCACGTGTGTGCACACATGTGCACTGTACATGGTCAAACGGGAGCATGAATGATCCCCTCCCGCCTTTCCGCATTCTTGGCCCGACCCTACCCTCTTTCCTGATTCTGCCCCCTTCCCCTTTCCCCTGCCCAAATATATTATCCCAAAGGACCCAGGCAGGAGGATGACTTAGTTGGCCTTTGGCTGACCTGTGCCCATCCTGAGCTCCCCCAAACTAACCAGAGCCTTGCCGGTCACCCTCCTCCACTCCCAGTAAGGGGGACACAAGACAGAGGAATTTGGGAATGTGAGACTCCAAGACCGAGGCCAGGCCTGGCCCAGCTGACAAACAGGAAGTGCACAGGCACTCAGCAGACACACCTGGCTTCAGGTATGCAGCGCCTGGAGCCAGCTCCCTACCCAGCTCCCCGCCCCTAAAGCTGCCTAGGGCGCATCTGGGAACTTTGTGCCCCTTCCAGGCTGACAGTTTGCTGACTCAGGAGGCAGGAATCCTGGTGCTATTTCCCTGTAGACCCCGCCAGACCAAAAGACCTTGGTGGGGAGGGGATGAGGGGAGAATAAGAAGCAGACTCCCTTCTTCCCTCCCATCCAGGACAATTGTCTCCAACGGACACTTGAGATACACTGTCCCTGAGGCCTGTGAAATGATCGGGGAACTACTAAAATGTCTGAGATCTGAATATAATAATATTTATAACTTATAAACAGTAACATTATTTATATTATTAATTAATTATTAATTGTATAATTATTATGTGATTATAATAACAATATTATATAATAATAACATTACGGGCTCCAAAATATAAGAAGAATCTGTAAGTGCAAAATTGCTGTTTGCTGACATTTCTATAAAATGTGGCCTTTTAACACCCTTAAAAATGGCGTTGCATGCTAAAGCAATGTGCAGGTCCAACTTTTCTCACGTCCCGAGAATCCCCAAGTGTGCACATAGATGGCTGAGAAGCTATGGACATTTGTCAATTAAATCCCCCTGCTTAGAGTGTTTTTTCACCTAGAGATCTCCCTGGCTCATCCCTCAAAATCCGTCCAGGTTTTACTCAATAAGATCTTCCCTGGTCCCTCTATGGAATATTTTCACCCTACCACCCGAACCTCCAGCATATCCGGTCCCTGGCTTAGCACTCTCTGACTTACTAGCCAGTTTTCATATATATATATATTTCGGCAGCTCCAACTGAGTTAACTGGCCAGCCCATATTTTTTATATTTCTATATATAAACAAGTTAGCCATAGTCAGGTTTTATATATATTAAATATATTATAAAAATATATGTCATTTAATAAATATATATGATACATAATATATAATATAAAAATAGATGTAATGTTTAATATTATATCATATTATATTAATATATAATATATTTATACAATATATTTTTATATACATTTTATTTTAATATAATATATACATATATTTATTTATAAATTATGTTACTTATCTATGTATAGATAAAATATATAGAACTTAAACAAGTTACTCGTAGCTGGACTTTAATATATCATGTATAATATATAAACTATATAAAAATTTTATTGTTGTATAATATATCATATGTTTATTATTTATTCATATATGAAATATATATGAGGGGTCTTCAAACAGTTCGTGGAAAGATCCGTATTCTCTCTTTTTTTTTTTTTTTTAAAGATAACCGGTAAGGGATTCTTAACCCTTGACTTGGTGTTGTCAGCACCACACTCTCCCATGTGAGCCACGGTTGGCCCTATGATCCGTATTCTCTTAATTCCAATTTTCCATGAACTTTTTGAAGTACACTGGTATATATAGAATCTGGCTACGAGTAACTTGTTTAATTTAGAATATACATATATATATATTTGTATAGTTACGTTTTAAGGTTTGATAGAATGTGGGCTGCTGTCTTCAAAACTGAGAGGAACATGGAAGAAGCTGACCCAACCACTTGGGAAGCAGGACTAATTATTCCCATTTTACAGATGTTGAAGACTGAGTCCTGTTGAAAGTACAGAGCTCAGCCCTGGCACCCTCTGCCCCTCAAGAGCTCCATGCAGGTGCCACAGGATGAAGAGGACCTTGCTGGCCAACCCTGGTACCATGGCCCCCTGTCCCGCGAGGTACTGCCTTCTGCAGGCCCTTAGCACCATCTGGTGGGGGGCTTCTCCCACCCTTGACTTGCTGGGGATTCCTGGGTCTTGCTGAGGGACTCAGGGTCAAGTCTGCTGGGAGCAGTGGCTG